AACCTTTTGTGCAAAATGTTTTTTTTTTTTTTTTTTTTTTGGTAATTTTCCAACTTTTTACTGAGAAAAAAATGGATTTGGTTTTCAGTTTCTTTGTGCTTTTAAATGGTAAAATGAGGAAAGCAGAAAAAGGGGAGAAAGGAGAGAAAAAACTCCCCTGGAAGATACTTCACTAGGCAAATTTACAAAAAATGCAGATTTTAAGTAAAAGATTTTTACAAACAAACATTGAAAACCATTCATTTTTCAAAACCTGTGAAATGCAAATAATTTCCAAATGTTCTGCCAATAATTATTAGCATGTTTGATCAGCTGTACCTTCCCTGTAAACCTAACGGGATGAGTCATTGTCCTCTCATCTATCCCATTGGAACCGAGTTCTGTGTTACATAAAGAATGAGGCTTTGATTACTGCAGTGAGAAAATTTCCTTATATCGGACTAAATGTAAATCTGTTTCCTTTGGGAGATAACAGCACCTGGCTTTCTGGCACATAAAGAGTTTATCCAGACATAGACAGAGATGAGTGAATAGTGGGAAAAATTATCAGTGACTGTTCTTTTGAATGTGAAAGGAAATTGCATTCTATTCCCATGAATATTTAAGTACCCACATTATGCTAGCAAAAGACTTTGTGAAAAGTGAATGCTCTGCTTTGACTGTAGGTGAAAGCCAATTGCAAACTGTATCTAATGCTAAAATTTGCAATTCATGCAATCTTGTTTCATTATCTAAATTATCCAGTCAGGGAGCAGACTATCATACCACATGACACTTGAAACTATCCAGCAAAACTGAATACAAAGTAGCATATTGAACTGTAAATATTTACAGTGTGGTTTGGTAATTACATATATCATTTGGTCAGAGAACAGAAACACCATGTGTTTGCTGTAGCCAACTAGCACAATGCAAATTGCAGATTTTGGATTTTTGGCATAAACTAATTGCAGTCAAAGACTTAGTCACTCGAGTCCAAGTTTCATATATTTATAGATTTTTCAAGGCCAGAAGAGGTTGTTATGATGATTTGGTTTGACCTCTTAAACAAGAGGGACTAGAGAACCTTATCCAATAATTCCTGCATTGAGCCCATAACTTCTAGGTTGAGTGACCTTTTTTTTTTAATTTTAGAAAAGAGGCCCAGTCTGGATTTTAAAGATGTCAGGTTATAGAGAATCCACCGTCACTTGGTAGCTAGTAACTGATGATTATTCTTGAAAATGAACAGAACAGAGATTTTCATGATCTGTTCACAAATGGCATGTAACCAGGGGAAACAAAGGCAAAAATCATTAAATAAATTATCTTTTGAAAAAGTCTGTCTAAATGATATCACACAGATTAATTTGGCTCACTTGTTGTTAGCCAGTATTTCAGCATAGCCAGAACTCAGAATGACAGTGCAGCCTCTCATGGGTGGAATGCCACAGCCATTAAACAGTACACGTCCCCCCCCCCCACCCCAAACTGCTTAAAACAAGGCATAAAAACACCTACAGGATCCAACTGAGGTTGCAAATGATACTTGGATTGACTGAGTGGGACAGCTGGAGTTTGCTGTGCCCACAGTCAAACTGTATGCTGTATTGCAATTGGGAGGTGTGATTACAGATTGTCAGCTAAGGGCAGCTGGGGAGGGTGGGGTGGAGGGGGTTAGAT